AGCGCCAAAAAACCCCGAATGGGAAAGAAGGCTCACGTTAACCTATGCTGAGGAATGAAAGTCCACGGTGAAGAGCTTGTAAAGCAGTTCTCTTAGCCTCTCCTATAACCACTGTTCCATACCGGAACATTCTAAGGACGTTTGCGTCCCTGGCCCTTGTCCTTGGGCCTATAACCTCACGGAAATCCCCGTCAAGCCTCGATCATCATCCCTGTGTTTACCCAGTGTCGGCGGCGGTTAATCCCTCTCGAAACCTCGTGTCGTATCGTCATCACCGAGATCATCCAAAAATCACAATACTGCTGGATTTACTCCCAAATGAGGACCGGTTTCGAGAGTAGACACGAAAGGCCGCTGCTTTACGAAATGGTTATAGAAAGAAATTAGAATAAAACGCGCTTGAGTTACTCGATTACCTTGAGTGATGACGTCATTATAGGAATCGTGTTTGAGGGGAGGGGGGGGGCGTGCGTCCTTCGCTTTTTTTCCCCGTAGTAAAACAGTCACAAAAGTTTACGAAGAGATCATTCAACTTATCTCTTCATGCATTTGACAAGCGCTCATATGGAAAAGCGCAGGGAAATGAAAACTACTGAGCTACTCTCCATAGTAAAGAGGTCACTGATTACTTTTGCTGCATCAGGGACCGCAGTTGGTGTAGTAGCAAAGGATCCCCTCACCAGGCGCGCCGTCATCGGGTCAAGTTCCCGCACCACCCACCCAGGCCAACGAACCCTCCTACCCTCCAGGGACAGTAAGTTGGTACATCTCGTCTTAGAGGATAAAAACACTGACCTGAACATAGGCCAGATCCTGCAAACAGGACACGTCCGTTGGGGAGAATTTTTATGAAATATGATCCTTTTCACAACTTCCTCCTCCGGTACGACACCCTCTACTACCTTCCACATCCCTCATCCTATCTGACACTTCCCGAATTCTCCCCAACCTATCAGCTACCAGCTCTTGCCCCAAAAAACTACTGCCGTGTGGGAGGGGTAGCGCCAGTGAAGACCAATGAAAGTCCACAACCTGATACATTTTTTTTCACGAGCGAATGCGACCCTCCCTACTCGATGGAGATCCACGACTCACGACGTGCCTTCACTGCAAATCGTGTGTAAGCAAAATCTCACTCAAAATGTCACCACGACTCCCAATGGAAGTGGACAGCGTGGCGCATCCCACAAATGGGATTGTTTAGTGCCAGACCAACGTTATCTCTTCTCGTATATTCTTAATGAGAAGAATGAGGAGTACTGTCGGAACAAGCTCAGGAAAAGGCTTCTCGGCGCAGTTCGGCGACGGGGGGGGCATTTTGCACTTTTGCTACTTCCCATCGACGTGTCGACCCATCTAGAGAGCCTTTTCGTGAGTTGACAGGTTTCACCATTGTGGCTCGATGAGCTTGCTCCAGCTTCACGGGAACAGGTTTCATCAGGTAACGTATGCGAACCGGAACTAGCGGAGCAATGAAAGTGCAAAATGCCCCCTCGTCGTCGAACTGCGCCGGCTGTCTCTACAGGTCGCTTAGACCTGATGTTCTATAGTGTCTTAAAGACCTGATCGTACCAGAAAAGTGCGCCGATCAACATCCAACGCAATCCCCCCCC